GTTACCGTCCAAGTCCTTGCACATATCGGCTTGCGACACGTAGCCTTTGCGCGAACTATTTAGCTTTCCGTAGAACTTCCGTGTGTCGTTTATGTGATCTCGGTCTTCCTACTGACGCTTCTTCCTTCGGAAAACCGAGTTTTATCTGTTCCGCTCTTGTCTGTATTGCTTCACATTTAATCTTGTGCGGTGTTGCATCATTCTCGCTCGTGCTGTATTCTTCTCCTCTACTAACAGTTTGCATTCGCCGTCAAACCAGTCGTTTCTTTGGTCCGGGATCGCAGTACTTACACTAATAAAATTGTTATGGTTTTTTTGCTTCCATCCAAACCATGCAGTACCATCCAAACCATTTGTGCAATAGCTCTATTATTTGGGTTATCGTTCGTTTATGGTATTTTTTATTAGGGCAGTGCTGCTGCAGCAGTACTATCTATGGCGGAACGGATGTTCCTCCAGCCATCTTCAAGAGAAGCTGCGTCAAGCTGCTCTTCCAAGGGTAGTGCCTCTTCCAGCCGCTGCGCGTAATCCTGAGCAGCTCCTGCGTCCCTTAATTCCTCAATGTTGGGCCGTGGCGTTCGACTTCGACGGGTGTTATGCACCGTCGAGAGTTTATAGCGTATACATACTGCAACTAGGTAGTGGTCCGAATCTATGTTCGCACTGCGGTACGTGCGGACGTTGATAATGTCGGAGAAGAATTTCCCGTCGATTAGTACGTGTTCGATTTGATTTTCTGTGTGCTGGTCAGCTGATCTCCAGGTGGTTTAGTAGATATCCTTGTGGGGGGAAAAGGTACTTCGAACTTCCATACCCCAAGAGGCTGCAAAGTTCATGCATCGTTAGCTGTTGTCGTTAGATACGGCATGCAGGTTGTTTGGCTCAATTGCCGGGTACATTACCTCCCGTCCTACCTGAACGTTCATGTCACCGATGACGATAGTCGTACACCTGCTCCAGCTGCGCATAGAACGCTTTTTTCTCTTCATTGGAGTAGCCCATAAAATATGTGCTTCATGCACTTATACAAATGACAAGTGACGTAAACAGTTGATCCTCGTCATAAATTTGTATTTTTCGATAGTTTTTTTTAAACCCAAAATTCCATCTTATCCCGATGAAACATATAGTATTGTGCATTTTTTAACATTAGTTTTAGAATTTTTTTAAAGTTGGGTATTTAGCGGCGCCGGTGGTGTAGAGGTAAGCGTGATTATCTCTCACCCCAGCCGGCCTGGGTTCAATCCCAGTCGGCGCAGCCGGGATGTTCTGAGGCATAACATCTCTGATCACGCCTTCCTTCGGAATGGAAGTAAAGCCGCTGGTCCCCGGTTCATGAGTTGATGGGTCGATAGGTAGGCTCCAGGTGTGGGAGCTGCCTCCCTGGCGTCGGTAGCATTGGTGCTCAGCACGGAAAACAAGATCGACGGAAAATAAACCAAAGGAAAAAAAAAGTTGGGTATTTGGGTTTTTATAAGCGTACGCTATTGCCAACATATAATTACTATGCTTCTAAAATTTGTAAATAATGATTATTGTAGATTACATAAGCACAAGAACTATCAAATGTTTAGGTCCCACTAGCTCTGGTGTACCTTATTTGATCTTTTTTTTTATCAAAACTGCAAACGTGAAAGGGTATCAGTTTTCCTACAACTGTATCTCCGACGTTATTTTGATTTATGAGTATACATGGCACACATTTTACACATAACGAATCATTACTCAATAATTCATGGAAATTGGAGCAGGTCGCTTTCGTCAGCATTAGATCGTCGATTCGTCAGTTGACTCTAAAAACACAAGTTTAGCTAGATTTACTAATCTAATGGTTATGCAATAGACCTAAGCAAATATTTCCAAGAACTTCACAACAGCTGCTGCTGCATCGGCTTCAATTGAGCGGTAATTGTTGGAAAATCTGTTACCCTCTAATGCTTCTTCCGACGCAGATTGTTTGCACATTATGGATTGAAAATTATAACTTGCAGCCTTTGCTTTGATTTCGTAATTGATTTACATCTGTATGTTGAGGTGAGTCTATAATTATGTGTGAATGGTACGAATTCGCTCTACATAAACAAATTGTAGGTAGGAAAGTAGGTATGTAACATTGCGCCTTCATCCTTTGAACCTTTTTCTGCAAAGATGTAGGATGTAGCAGACGAGTGGTTAAATTGAATTTAAACTTCGTTACCCAACACACTTCGTTGTGCAGGCCGACTGGCAATCGGTGAAAGGATGTAATATGTTTAAAATGTTCGGTTAGTATTCGTGTTCCGCATGATGCATGGCAAGCAATTATTACACTGCCATGATTATAATATCATAACACTGAATATAGAAACGCATGCCCATTTAAAAAAAAAACTATGAAATAATGCATACTGCCTTTTCGTAGGATATTAAACTGTACCAAACCAATAATGGGGTAAACAGCTATACCACATAGTTACTGTTACAGCCAGATCAATAAGGACAAAGATGATTTCAATAGCGTCTCATCTACTATGCGTTCTAAAGTGGCCTTTGTTCAATCCGCCAATGAAAGTCTTCTGCACGCTGGCTATATACTACAACAATGTGGATCGCCACCAGACAAAAACACCGACAGCCATGAGGTTGACGAGCAAAGAAAAGGAAAAGACGACGAGTATTTTAAAGAGGATAATGAAAATGAAGCACAGTGACAGGAAAATAGCAAAATCAGGACTTTTGAAGTATTGTTTCAAGTATCATGAACAGTTGCCAGTGTCATGAATGGAGTACGGCAAACTGGATAGGAAATTTCGCCGTGCACCATGTGGTTGTCCATAGAATCAAATTTTCATTCACACTTTCCACTCTGTAAAGTAAACCTCTAATGGATGACATCAATGATTTGCTAAAATTCTTGCAAAACAAATTGATTATTGATTTTTTTTTTCCTTTTTTTTATTGTTATGTTCTGAACATGGTTATTGTTTTGCAATTGCAGTCTAATGCCGCTAGCCACAACCGAAAATTGAGTGCCTAACACACTCGGTGTGGAAGATTTAGGCCGAACACCATTACGCCACGCCTAAATTGGTCCTTACACCAAAAATACCTCGCTGGACGTCAGGTTGGCCAAATATAGCCAACTTTCAACCATCGAGTCCATGTTTTTGTACAAAACCAGGCATTTTTCAAAACTATACTTAATTTGCATATGATTGTATGTGCTGCATTTCAAGTGGAAATCATAATTCGAGGATTAAAAAGGTTCCGAAATAAGCAAGGTAGGGGAAATGTATCTGGCCTTGAGATGATTTTTAGATCCATAGATTGTCCCATCGATAAAAAGAATCCTTTTTTCACTGAATCTCAGCAAAACAATTGCCGAGATGGGTACCACTGAGTGCTCGGCAATCAGCAAATTTGCCGGGGATCTCGGCAATCATAAAATTTACGGTTGTCAATTTTTGCCGAAAATCTCAGTAATCAAAATTACTGATTGCTTGGCAAAAGCATCCCTATGGTATTAAAAAATACTGAATATCGGCATTTTTTGTTTTGTTTTTTGTTTCGAGTTAAAGAAAATGAATAAAAATATACTATCATGTGAACAATAGTTGCAAAATAAGAAACACTGCAATGGGATTATCATTCTGTATTCCATTCAAAATCATCACAAAATTATACATCACAGAGGAAGTTATTTGGGATTTAGATTTGAGGAACAGCAGCAGCAGCAGCAGGGAATGCGTATTCCAGATATGAATATATCCGCTAAAATATATGCCGCTAAAACTCTTCGACATTGGCTGACGACTAAAAAAACAGATAGAAGACGGCCTACGAAAAATATTACTGGCGATATTAATAAATAATGTGAACTTACTTGAACTTGAACATTTCGCACTTGAACACTTGATTCATTATTCCGCGATTTACAGCCAATTTTGATTCACAAGACGAAAAATGGCGGGTGGAAAAAATGACAGCTTTATTACCAAAATCCGGCAATGGATGAGGTCAATACCGAAATCTCAGTAAACGCAATTGCTGATTTCGTTATTATCTCTATTTACTTATGGGCTCAGTGAATTACTTGACCGAATTTTTGTAAAAATAGATTGATTGCCGATATTTCGGTAATTTTTTTGGTTAATCTCGGAAAAAAATATGCTGGTTGCCGATATATCAGCAAAATTATGAATTACCGTGTCGGATCTTTATTTTTTTTTCTGCCGAGCCCTTGTTGTGATGAATACTACTTTCAGCACTCGAATTGGCCTTTAAAGATCATATTCTTGAATTTTGATGTGATTTAGTTTTCGTCAGATTCTGACCGCTTTCTCGGTGGTAAATGGAGCATGTGTGGCCGATCACCTTAAATGTTTATAATAGATTCTCATGTGATATGTGTACACACTTAAAAATTTTGCGCCGAGATTCCAACAGCTGAGAAATTCTGCAATTTATTTTGCTGAAATTCAGTCAAACAATTGCCGGGACTCAGCTAACAAATAAAATTTTGCTAAGATATCAGCTAACAAACAGATATTTTGCAGAGATATCAACAAAAGTAAATGCCAAAATAATCGGCTGTTGGAGATTTTACCGAGCTAGATTAAGTGTGTACATATATACTTTTCTTTTTTTTTTCCTTTGATTTGTTTTCCGTCGATCTTGTTTTCCGTACCTCGACCCTACCTATCGACCCATCAACTCATGAACCGGGGACCAACGGCTTTACTTTCCTTCCCAAGGAAGACGTGATCAGAGATGTTATGCCTCAGAACATCCCGGCGGTGAGAGGTGAGAGGTAATCAAGCTTACCACCACACCACCGGCGCCGCTTGAATTCTGCTTTCAGTTTCTAACTAGACCTAGCTTTATCTAGAGTACTATCCAACTTTTATTTCTGTTCATACTTCTAATAATTCTAATATGTTTCGTATTTTTTACAATAAGGTCAAAACAATATTTTAAATGTTCTAAATCCACATCTTTTGACATCTCTTATTTTCAGCTCCAACGAAGACTGGCAGACACCAACAGTAGAAACGATGCTTGTCGCTCTCCTATAAAAGAAGTAATTTTTACTTTACTTCTAAAGTAATGGTACGACATGATTTCAACATCCAGTCCATCCATTGATGCATCACAGCTACTATTAAACACAACGCTTGATTCATGTGCACTTAAATATGACGAATTTGTAATACCAAGCACAGGTAAGTCAGTCGGAAAAATGCATGAACAATGACTTCTCTTGATGATTTCTAGAAATTCAAGGCTCGCCCACGCAAACCAACATCCTCACCGGGTAGGGAAAGACTTCCACTATCCGATGGTTAGGTTGGTCTGCATGGACGTGCCTTGAATTCCTAGAAATCATTGCTTACACAAGCTGTTACGCCCTAATTCCAGCTCTATCTAGAAATGTGTGTACACACACTTAGATTTTTTTACAGTTTACTGTAATTTTTACCGAATATGGAACAGCAGAACGTTCGGTAATTTTTTGTTGTTTTACAGTACATTCAGTAAATTTAACTTTGCGCTTGAACTGTCAAAATTTACTGACTTCCGCATTGTAAATTTTGCTGAATAATTGGTAATGTTTACAATACCGTTCCGTAAGATTATTACCGAACGTTTTTTACAGTTTATTGTTTTCTTTTTTTTGTGTTTTTGATAATAAAATATATCGAATGATTCATTTCAGTCAGAAAAATAATTTATTTTCAATTGTATTCAGCTGAGAACCCGGACAAAGTTATCGACAGTAAGCTTGGTCTGATGAAAACATGCACACACTTTGTTTTTTTTTCTCGGCTGAGGAGGACATTATGTTGCTTATGCAGTTAGCATCAATAACTGGAAGCGGATCGCCTAAGAGAGAATTAGTAGTGAAATAATGTTCCGTTCAGTGTAGATTATGATGATGATGATGATGGTCCCACCTCTTACCCCTACAAAGGTTTGAGCTGGACGATTTATCTTTAAGATAATTAAATATGACATTTTAACCAGGTTGGCAAACAAAATCGAACTGGTTTCAGTTACAGATATAAATTCCCTCTAGAGTTTACAGTTGCTTCACAGCGATATAAATGTTGAAAAGCTCAGGCGTCCACCTCTTAGTTCGCCTTTTTGTCCACCTAAAATATTCATAAGTATTACAAGCAATCAAGAGTTAATGAACAATCAACAAAGCATCCTATTACACTAGTAACCCCGCAATCTGATGCTATCATAATTTTCAGCAATGTCAGGAATGCTCACGAACCCCCAACATTTACCAGAAAACTTACTACTAACTCAAGGTATCTTCCAAATAAGCTTCAAAATTGCATTTTTTTTTTTATCGAATGTTAAATTCAGTCCTCTATATCCGTAAAACGCGCGCGAGGCTCAAACCTTTGTAGACTACTATTTTTTTTACTACTACTATTAAATCAAATATCAAAAATCCATCATCACCATCGTGGCGAACAAAATAGTTTTTGCAGTGCTACAATAATTATTAAAAAGTCGTTATAACAGCTATCCATACAAAATAATCCGTTAAAAATAACTTCGTCAAGATACATAATTTGTCAATTTTCAAAAAATAAATCACTGGACAGTTTTAACGTGTGAAATGCAATGTCTCTTAAATTCTGCTAATGGTTTTGAACGTTTAATGTGCCTAGGCATCGAATTGAAAACATTTATTCCTTTAAAAAATAATGAATTCTGTGAAGCACAAGTCAAGAAATGTGGTGTTCTTATTTCATCCGCGTTTCTAGTATTATATCTATGATAGTCACTTCCTCTTTCAATTCGATCACACAAATATCGAGGCAGCAAACCGTTAACTACTTTAAAAATGAACACCATAGTCAAATATATAACTCTTTGCTTCACCGACAACCATTGTAAGGCGTCTAGCATCAAAGTTGAGGAAGTGAATCTATTACATCTCAAAATCAAACGCATTATTTTATTCTGCAAGCGCTGTAATCTCGATATTTGTGTTGCATTGGACAGAAATAAAATGGATGGGCAAAAGTCTAGATGAGGAGAGATGATTGATTTGTATAGCTGTATTTTACTGGCAATAGTTAAATCGTTTTTCAGTCGACATAGAATTCCTTACTTCTTGGCAATTTTCTTGATGACATTGTCAATGTGAGAGTTGAACTTAAGTTTGTCATTAATAATCACGCCAAGATATTTAATCTCCTGAACGCGATCAATAGTCTCATCATCAATTACAACAGAGACGTTCTCATTTAATCGATTCCGCGAAATTACCATAAATTTAGTTTTACTTGTATTCAATTTTAACTGCTTACACTTCAACCATCTACTTAGATACTGCAAATCTTCATTCAAGTGTGAGACGGCAACTTCTAAATCCTTAGCTGCAATGAATAACACAGTATCATCTGCAAAAAGGTTAATGTCGCAAAACCGTAAAACACGTCGCAAGTCATTAATATACATAATAAATAAAAGGGGCCCTAATACACTTCCCTGGGGCCCTCCAAGGTTGTTCCCCACGGGACTGGAAACAGAATCATTAAAAACAGTCCGTTGAGTTCTGTCAGACAAATAGCTTTCAAACCATTTATATGCAGTACTCGTAATTCCAAAGCGCTTGATTGTACTTAACAGTAAGGGCCTAGAAATTGTTTCAAAAGCGCTTTTCAAATCCAAAAAAACAGCAACAATCGTATCTTTACGCTCCAAGTTTTCTTTCCACTTTGCTAACACCAAATTCAATGCAGTTTCACAAGAATGACCTTCCCGATATCCCGATTGATCTGGTATCAACAAAGAGTTGCTATTCAAATACTCCAACAGCTGGCCTTTAACAACAAGTTCTAAGATTTTCTCTGATGTGTGCAACATGTTGATGGGACGAAACTCTTCGGCTTTAATCGTTCCAGCAACTTTTTGAATAGGAATCACTAAGGATTCCTTCCAAATTTGTGGCACATGTCCATTCTGCAATGATTCATTAATAAGGTCCAGAAAGATGTGACATGAAAGCAATCTTGAATAACTCTAGCATTAACATTATCTACTCCAGCCGATTTTCCTAATGAAAAACAAATAACTCTAAGTTCATCTAATGTAATTGGGTGAAAAACTTCAAATCTGCAACGACTATTAACTGGCTGTTTTATTTCGTCAGGTTCATCGACCAATTCAATAGATTGATTAATCAATGAAACACTGTCTACGAAATAATCATTAAACTTAGCTGCAATTACTTGTTCTGACTGTTCTAATGTGCCATTAAAAGTTATGGACCGCGGACATTCCTGGAACTTGGCTGCTATTTATTGAAACGCAAGCTGCTTTTCTTCTGATCAAAAAGTCTTTTATAGAGCAAACATTCCGAGCTAAATGCGGCATGGTTGACGTCCAAGTTCATTTTTCGTTCTTTATTCATTTTCAAACAATTAATACATTTCAATACAGTTGACGTACACTCCTACGTTTTGTGTTGTTGGCTGCACCTAGAGCATCTATCACAATTTTTGCAATCCATGCTCTTGTGCCCAAATTCTCCACATTTGAAGCATCTCAACATATTAATCGTGGGAACTATCGAGCACCGATCAAACCCTATGTCCTTGACACTCGCGGGAAATGGACTGTATCGAAAGAGTTTCGGTTTCAGTGGAATAAAATTTCTTCGGACGAAATCAAAAGAACGCGTGTTAATGATTCAACAGACAATTTTACTCTGAACTAATAATCGGTTACATGTGTGGATGTGTATAAGAAAAAAATGTATGATGGTTTCTGTATTCTTCGTAGGTTGTCTTAATGCCAGAGGGGCGTTTAAGTACCAACATCCTCCGGGGCGTTGAAATTGGCAATTTCAATACATCAGCTACACAGGATTGTCGTCCTCTTCGTTGTCTAGTGGCAATAGACAGACCTTCTTAACGGCTCTCCTAGTGGTGCCGTGTCCGGTTCGCAAACTCACCACGCGTGTGTGCCCATCCTTGCCCGGATGCAATTCGATTATGCGGGCGAGAGCCCACTTCAGCGGCGGTGCGTTTTCATCAACGATAACGACCATCGCTCCAACCTTGAATTCGGTGACTTTCATATCTCGCTGGCGTTTCTGTAGTTCGTGTAGGTAATCGTTCATCCACATTTTCCAGAACTTCTGTTTCATGTCCTGTAAAAACTGCAAACGGGACAATCTGCCTTTAGGAATGTGGGCGTACAAGGGTTCCGGTATAGCTTGGAATTCCCTCCCTATTATGAAGTGAGCCGGTGTGATAGCAGTCAGATCATTCGGATCATCAGAAGCAGGTGTGAGAGGGCGGGAGTTCAAAATAGCTTCTACCTGTGTAAGGACGGTAGACAGCGCCTCGAACGTCAATCGATGTTCAGCGAGAACCAACTTCAAGTGCGATTTCACTGATTTAACTCCCGCCTCCCAGATCCCACCGAAATGTGGGCTACGTGGAGGAATGAACGACCATTCGATGCCCCTTGGTACACAGTATTCATTCACAGCACGCGTGTGCTGCTCACTGCGGAATAATTCGGCTAGGCGATTCATTTCATTTTTAGCGCCTTCGAAATTAGTCGCGTTATCGGAGTATAATTTCTGTACGAGGCCACGACGACTAACAAAGCGCTGGAGTGCAGCCATGAAGGATTCCGAACTTAGGTCCGAAACCGCTTCAAGATGGAGAGCCCGAGTTGCCATGCAAACAAATAAACAAACGTAACCCTTAGTGGTCGTCGGGTTCCTTGCAGTTGCACTTAATCGAAGGTTGAAGGGTCCCGCAAAATCCAATCCCGTGTGTGAGAATACTGGAGAAGGCTGGACGCGGTAATCCGGAAGCTCTCCCATCAGTTGAGTTGATTTCTTTGGCCTCATCCGAAAGCATGGTATGCAGTGGTGTACCACCTGCCGGATGACGTTCTTCGCCTTGAGTGGCCAATACTGTTGCCGGACGACCCCAAGAAGACTGCGCTGACCGAGATGCATATTGGCGCGATGTAGATGACGTATCAGCGTGACGGTGAGCGGATGTTTCTCGGGAAGTAGTGCTGGATGTCGGTGTTCGTACGGTACAGTTGCGTTCTTTAAACGTCCTCCAACACGCAGTACTCCGTCGTTCGCATCGATGAATGGATTCAAATTTTGAAACGTAATTCTGCATTCTTTATTACCTTTAATCGCTTGTAGCTCCACGTGAAAAGCTTC